CTCATAAATCAATCCCTGTAAATTACACAGGAGAAACAAACTACACAACTGAACATTAAGTTTCCTTAAATTCATTTAGTTCATTCCAATAAAATAATGTATTTGTAATACTCTGTAAAATATCAGATTGTTGCAAATTGTGGCTGAACTAACATTTTCCTAGTCATTAATCCCTATTTCAGTGATCTTAAACTTCTATTGCAAATCACAGGCTTTCAATCACTATGATGGATTGCTAATTTTGTTGCAGTACATTTAAAGTAATCAATAATTAATGTGCTTGTTCTGGAAGAAACTTCAGCTCATGAAGAGCTTCAAAACTAGCAGCTAAACAGATAAAGACAAAATCCTTAAGTTGAAGGCTCTGCATGGAAATGTAAGAAAAGTGCAAAAGCAAACCTATACCAGACAGTACAATTAAGGAAATACAGTGAGTGACATTTTTGAAGAGAAAATCTCCAGCTGACTCAGAAGATTCTAGAACACACTTTCTATCAAAAAGAGTATTAAAGAAGAGCACTTTGTATAGTACTCTATATAATTATATAAAGTATAAATTATCCTAAATTTGATCTGTATGTTTGCAACACCAGAATTACAAACATTGCATACATAAAGATTTGCAGTTGTAGTATGATTGGATAACTCAAAGCTATGGCAAACCTTGTAGACAATTTTACTCAACAGTTTTTTTTCTTCAGTAAATACGACATTGTGTATGTTTTCTCCTTTCTCCTTTCCTACTCCACACACCTCCCCCTTTCAGGTCTGTCTTGATACAGTGACTGTATGGGCAGCACATTACACTTACTTGAAAAGTGAGGCGGTATATTGGGAAAAATAGTTTTACATTTAGATAATTTCCTAGTAAACTTATGTATTAAAAATAAACACTACATACACACTGAATAATTTGCTTTGCAGATTCACATTTTTGAATACCTTATAACCAGCACTTAAACCTATGGTTTCAAAAAAATTCTATTCTATATTCTTTCAAATGCATGACCTTCATCTTTTTTACAGCCTCTGTAATGCTGAAGTCATAATTTTGCCTCAATTGCTGGAAATCAAACAAAATGAACCACCTGAAATATACTTCTTTATCCACGTTTCTACTAAATATGGTTAGGTTCTAAAGGGAACTATTAGGGAGCTATTTTTATTTATTTTTAATGATTTGCATTAGTGAGTTACGGCCTCACAAAAAAAAAACAAACCAACCACAAAAGGAGATACTTATGAATCAAGCAATTCCTCTGCAAGATCTATCATTCTAAGTGATTCATGCAAGACTGTAATAAAGCACTCAGGAAACCTATTAAATATCTAAACTATGTATGACTTAAAAGATTCACAAAATGAAACAAAAGCAAAGCATCATTACCTAAATGTTCTCTAAAACAAACTGCAGAGGTCACCTCTAAAAACAAATAGAACCTTTAAAATTATTTTCTGAGTTTGTTAGAGAAGTCAACTTTCACTTCAAGCTTTAGAAACTCTTGTATTTCAATGTATGTCTTCAATTTTCAAGCAAATATTTTCAATATTTGGTTACTTAATATTGAGCAGTATATTGTTACAGGTGCCCTCTGGTTTCACAATACTTTAGTTTCAAGCACACGTTATAGCTCCTTTCACTGAACTCTTACTTCTTTTTAAAAAGCGCTGTCTTCATGCCTTACATCAAACCTATCTGCGTCAAAAGTAAAATATTCAAAAAACTCCACATTTTACTAATAATCCTCTCAAAACTCAATTACAGTTCATTTGAGTAAAATATACTGAAAATCCACACTTTAATTAGAGATATAGTTTTCTCACTGTCACTTATAATGTCAGTTACAGATCTGACTTTGCCTCATTTGAGTAAATGCTTTCAATTAACTTTTCACTGTTTGACTGATCTGTAAATCTTTACTGTGCCACTCATTAATCTTCTAAAAGGTAAAAACTGCAGGATTACATAGTTCAACACAACTTACATAGATGCGTATAGAGGAATTTATAAAATAAATTCACTGCAAATTCTAAAAAACCAAGTGTATCACATTAGGATCACAAGACTCATCCTTTTCTTTAGACAGAACCACAAAAAGGGATCACAAGACTGATCCTTTCCTGTGGAAAAAAACCCTTCAGTTCTAGTGCATGCTATGATACTGAAATGGCCTATCTATATAATCCAGCATCCGTGATTAAAAAAGTCCTATCTTGGCATGTCTGTAACACATACATATGGCAGCTATCACCAAATATAGAAGTAGGGAACATGTCAATATGTTTCAGAGAAAAGCTAATAATTAAAGATCTTCTAACCTTAATCACTATAGTCACTAAGGCATACTTCAGTCAGTTAATGAAGCATTTTAAGTCGTCAGAATGAAACAAACTTTTTTAGAAGAATTTTAAATCTTTCCATAGGTAACTATTTAAAGATTTTAAACCATATGAACAACAGGTCAAGTAAAGACACTCAACATATAACAGTCCCTTAAATGCTACACACAAGCACCTAAATTGCATACTGAAAAAATGAATCATTAGTTGAACTGTAAGAACTAGTTAAATAACTTTTTTTTTTTTTGCTAAATACTCTGTAAAAATTAAGTCCAGTCATTACAAAACATCTGTTTAGTGATGAGCAAAGATCTGAGAAATTTGGAGCTTTAATAACACACAGTGGCAAATAAAATGGATACTGAAAAAATATTTTGTTTTCTCTTCTAAAAATCTCTTGCTTCCAAGGAGCCCTACAAACTTGCATTTAAAACACTGTTTCTACCACCACAAAGGAGTCCTGCCTGATGGTGTAGGGAGGCAAAAGCAGCAGTGCAGACAGAAAGTCACTCCTATCACTTTGTGACAATGTAAAAGAAGAGAAGATTATGGAAACTTTCTCTGACTTAGCAACACTCCCCTACACAGCTTTGGCTGCATAGCAGAAAGCCTGTCTGGTAGCTAGCATCTTATTACAGTCCCTGAACTTAACTCTTGTCAAAAGACAGAGAGATTTAAGAAGAAAAGTAATACTAAAAATTTCCTAATTTACTAAATGCTTTACTATAATTTAGTAATTATCAAAGCTAAGCCTCCACAGCTCCTTAGAAGCAGCCATAACCGAAACTGGATAAAGTTGCAGCTATTTATAGGAATTATCTGAAGAAAAGCAAGTTTTAAATTCTTTGTTGTTTTTAAAAAGTAGTATGGAAAACAGGAAGATTTAAGGAAATATTTTTCAGAGAACTATGAACAAAGGACTAGAACATAAGAAACTTCTTCTCCCATACAGGATTACTATTCAGTTTCTAGGCCTAATTATGAGGATGGATTATAAGAGAATCTGTTGGGTTTTGGCATGCAATATGCTTATTTTTGGCCCATCTAAATTACAGTCTTCTCATGTAGTAAACAAGACACACCACTAATTTTCCACTATTATTTTTTAACTGCAACTTAAATATGCAGCCCTTCACAGCATTTTCTCATCTTATCCTTTATGTCCTCAAATGTGGCTTTTAACACTTCCAGAAAAAGCCTGAAGAAGAAAACTAATTCGCTGCATTTTTCAAAGTAAAGCACACTACATGTTTTACCCAGGATTCCTTCCCACAACAAAATGTTCTTCCTGCATCTTTCATTTCTTGCAAACAATAGGGCTGCAGAAAGCCCTTTATCTTGTCACGGGCAGTTAAAAACCTGCTGCCACCAGGTTTCACCAGTGTAACTGCATGTGCAATCACTGTGACATCCTGCCTTTATTTCAGAGTCTGATACTGAGCAGGATCTAGGATTATCTACCAGTAGTAGCTTGTCTATGCAAGAGAGTCACTCAGTTACTGATGAGCTTCATACGGGCACTCTGCCTCCAATTTGGAAATACAACTACAATCTGGCACACAACCTTAAAATTGTATCAACTACTACAGTAAATCATATGCTGTAATTGAAACTAAATTCAGCTATGCTGAGTACATACAAGGCATCTGTACCTGGGACACATTCTGATTCTAAAGCTATGTGTTGCTTGCACATACAATTGATTCTGACTACTCTTATAACTCTAGAATAAACTAAATAAACTAAAATATTTGTGTTGGAATAATCCTTCCAATTAAAAACAAGAATTATATCTGAGCTAACTAGAAGAACTTCTCCAAAAAGATCTAGTTGAAGCATACACGACCTAAATACAACACTCTTTTTTTTTAATCTGAACTTATTATGAGATCATTTTAATGAAAGCTCAGTAGATTCAATTAAAATCCACTTTCTGGTTGCTAAGTTCCATTGTTTTTCTTTCAAGAATTGTGCGCCGTTTCTACAGCTTCACAAAGAGGCCATGATACCAGCTATAAAATCAAAATCTGCAGAGGTTCTGGTCAACAGTAGCTATTTAATAGCAGCTATTCTAACTTTAATTAGATTTCTGCACCTAGTAAAACATCATTCAACAGATTTTGGTTTTTTATCTCACTTCTGTTTCAGATATGAAACATGATTATCAAACCTTTTCATGATTTGCATTAATGAAGGTAGCATTAATAAATTTCTAAAAACAATTTCCTCAAAATCCACATTTCAGCTCATAAAACTGTTAATGATGTTAATTTAATTACTTTTAGGATGTTCCTGTAGCTTTAATATAATTAAAATGCTAGTTTGTGGATCTTTCTGACCTGCTCTAAAACATGGACAAATCACCCTGACATGAGCAAATGAATTCTCTCATGTTAGAAAAACAGATTATCTTGGTTATTTACATCTGAATTCACAATGTCAATGTTTTTTGGCATGTCAATAAGTGAATCGAATCAGTATTTCTGATGTAATGTTTCCCCTAAATAAGGGGGGGAAATTGACTGTAATGTTTCCCCTAAATAAGGGGGGGGGGAAATTGATTGTGTTTTTAAAATGTACATTTTCTTCATTACAATCATAATGACAAACTGATAAAGATGGAACTTTAACTCTTCATAAGGTCAGAGTATCAAACCTACCTGACTAGATTTTCATTGTCTCCAGTCCCTTTGCATGTAGCACACTCAGTCCTTAAATCCTCTGACTTGGGCTTCTTTTGCAGAACAGACTGTCGTTGTCTTCTTTCTCTGGGAATCCGTTCCTGTCACAGCAGAAGACAAAAGAAAGGAATGGGGTGGGGGGAAGGAAAGGAAATATTTTCAGTTATGGCACTGAAAGTAACACTTCAGCCCAAAGTTTAGTTTTTTTGTGAAATCGTTAAAACAAACAAAACACTATATTCCAACCTCAGGTTTTTCTTCTTCAGGCACGAAGCTTCGTTTTCGTCCTCTAGTTCTCTAGAAGAGAATACATTTAAAACACATCGTTAGGCAACAGAATGTTTTTGTTATTTATCTACTATTCAAAGCAACAACAAAAACATAACCCAGGAAATAATTTAAAGTATTAACTACACTGCCAGACAACTACACTAACCAGTATTAGAACAAGAGCTTCACATTCTGGATATAAATCTACAGAACTAGTCAAAAAGTAAATATAAACACCTGAGCATGTTAATTCTTACTCTAAAAGATCTCTTACAAAATGCCTAAAAAAATCTACAAATCCTTACAGACTTTGCACAAACTTCCCATAGCTAATTGAAAATTGATGTGAACAGTATATTACAATAAATTCCTTGAGCACTGAAAAGTGCTCTCTTTGTAAGCCAAGTCAGAAGATTTTTTAAAAAAACAAAATTAAAGAACTTTATCAAAATGGAAACAGAAGATAACTCATAGCTTTTCAGAAGTAGCAAGAATTAAAGCTTTCAAACTGAAGCTTACCATAATGGGTTTATGGCAAACACTCATAAAGCTGTAGCATATGCCAATATATGACTGCTGGTACACAACAGATGGAACGGGTGATACAAAGAGCAGAAATTATTTCGGTATTGCAGTTGACCAAAACAATATAAATACCAACAGTGTGGAGGACAAGAGGCTTCCATGGACTATAACAGCAAGCACCAAAGGTTTACAGGTAGCTCTAAGTTACTACACACAACTCACCTGAGGTCAGATTCAGTCACTACATTTTATCTCTTGAAACAGCAGCATAATGATCTATCTGCCTGTGTTAAATAACTGCCACAAGCTGAAAATATCACATACTTTCCTTCTTAACAAGGAAAGAATATTAGAAGGGATGTGGAAGGAAATAAGAAACATCAGAGACTATTCCAGTAACCCAAAATGTCTAATATACTGACACTAATAAAATAAATAAATACACTTTAAAATACTTGTTTTTTTCTGGGAAGGAATCACCACCTAAGGAAGCAATTTGTCATATGATAAAGAAAACCACTGACTACTTTATGGTTTCTTATAATTATTTTTGAAGCAGCAGAAAAACTAAAAAACAGCTGATCAAAAAACCCCTTAAGCCAGTTTAGAAGCACAAGCAGTCCTAAATCCACTTCCAAATAAGCTAGTGATATCATGCTTCTCCTGTTTGGGGTCCTCTTTGAAGGTGATTTATACTAGCTCCAAATTAAGGCTGATCACTATTTTAAACCGTTTTACAGATTTAAATATAGCTATGCTGCAAATAAACCTGCCACTTCAACACATCTGTAACTTTCTGCTTAAGCAGATTTTGATTTGCATATGCTAATAACATACTGCTTGGGAAGGTTTTTCTTTTTTTAGACAACTCTGTAGTAGCAACGAATGTAGTGGAATCGAAAACCTAGTTTATTTTATGCCTCTTTAGAATGCTTCAATTACCATCAGGATTCTCTTTCACATTTCCCTAAGGATGGTTCATAAAAAAATGTAAAACCTTATCTATTTAAGACATATGAATATTAACTATACATTTAATTATACAGTCATAATTGAGGTGTTCTACTCTCCACAAGCCACATAGTAGATACCCAAGTGTCCAAATTTGGAAGAAGTGATTAATTACAGGTAACTGAATTCATCAATGTAATATTAGATGCATTAATGTAGTATTGGAGGTATTAATGTAACATGGGTTACATGTCAACTACATGTTACGTAACCCAAGGTCACCGCAAATTAAAACTAGAAAAAAAAAATCTGATGAGACATCAGCACATGAACTGCCAATTTTACTAATTCCATCCTCTGGCATTAGTCTTAAGAACATTGGACAACTTTGACAATTTTAAGCCACATAGGCCCTGCTGAATGCTGCTGCGTAAAGATTAAAAAGAGGCAGGTGTAGAGGCAATGTTATGGTCCTCAGTCTTCATGTTTATAAGCAGCAAGAGACAAGTGTGCATGCTTTGCACCATCAGAGTAATGCTACCTTTAAACCATACATAATTTGGAAATCTAGGTAACAAGGAAATTATTTTCACTCTAAGTAAACAAAATATTAGAAGTTAATAACTACATTTTAAGAAGCGATGAATCATATTCAAACTTCAGTAAAATGGAGATACATGATTTATAAATAATGTAGACAGCTTTGTGAAGAAAATGTTGGTTTTCACCTGCTATATAATGTGTGATGTATATAACACAGAATGCCACATTAAAATGAAGTTGCATTATGCTTCCATTAGCTTTCTAAACCTTCAAACATACTTGAGTTTGTTTAACAATCACTAGAAAACAAACATTGAAATCAACAGCTTTGACAGACATATTTGAGATTATATGCTTTTAAAATAACATAATTTTACTTTTTTTTTTTCAAACTAAGCTCCATAGTTAAACATATTTGCAATACTTCTGCTCAGATCATTATACTATTGACAGCATACACAATGGAAAATAACATCAAATTCAGAACTGAAAATTGAATATTCTGTGATTTTTCAACAATGGACTTCCAGCAATTTAGCATTTGCAATTTTACTTATGTCTTCACTACAGTTACCTTACAGGTTCACAGAAAAGAATCAGATAAACCTGGATTACTTTGTTGAGTATTATTCATTGCTGTTTGCCTCAAACTACTCTATTTTAAATTGCTTTGAACAATTTCTCTCATTAGCAGGTTCAGAATCAAAACGTCAGAGATTATAACATCAAATATTAGAGCTCCATGTACTTGTCATAAATAATTTAAAATTTCATATAAAAGAAAAGCTTAAAGGAACAGTGTTGTTTTATGGTGCATGATACAACTGAGATAAACTTGTTTATACATACCAGACCTTATATGGAAACAGAGACATTAATCCAGTAAAAGAGGCATATAAAGAAAGTGATTTTTTTCATCAAAACACCTGGCAATTCAATACTACAGAGGTACCTTCAACTTAGGACTTCCCTATATTATAAAATGGAGCAAACCAGTTTTGTGAAATTTGTCTCTGCATTTCCAAAGTGCTCAAAGATTAAGTCAGAAAAGCAAAAACTCATGTTTTCAGCATCCAAGCAAAATCCCCATTAATGACAGTGCTATCCCACTAGGCTTTTTGTTTCATTGCAAAATGTAGTTCTGTAAAACAGCTACCATTCGAAATGGACAACTCAAGAGAACAAAACACACCTAGGTGTAATTTAGACAGATACAATCCATACATGGCAACTATAGCAAAATGGTATTTTAGGATAGGGATAAATGAAAAAAAAAGGACTGAACAATGGCAAGCGGTTCATACTTATATCATTTCCTATATGTAGAAATAAAAGGTTTATGTGAAAAATTATCTCAAATGTTGGCATTTAAAGAGAGCTGATTAGCAAGTCTTTGGCCGCGTCTCATCCTAAGTTCCACACTCGCACAACCCTGGAATTCACTCAGTGGCCACTCAAGCAAGAGCTAAGTGTGCTATGTGCTCAGACACTTCCCTGCTATTAACAGTAAGATTCCAGCCACTGAGCTTTAGAGCCCAAAGCATCAGTGGAATCACCATGCAGGGATCAATGTTCTGGTTACTACACTGGCAATTTAAAATTTAAAATTATATGCATAGAGCTAAGGGTTGGTTCTATTCAACCTTAACTGTCCCAGAGACTCACACAAACATGCCAAGGTCATAACAATGACACACAAGTGCAGATACTATTTGTTATTTCACAGCCTTTCATAATTAGGGCACTTAAATAACAAAACCAAATTAACAGATGCTAAAACCAGTCAAACAAATAAAATTTGACCTCCTGATACTATGCCATAATATTCCTATTCCTCCCCTTCTCTGGTGAATTCTTAAACCTCTCTTTCTCTACTACATCCCAACCACAGCTCCCACTGTATCCCAAAGCTCTCCCTATGTTCCCCAGCTAAAGTGAGAACCTCTTCCTTACTCAGGCCTCATCCTTCCCATCCAGTTGCTCTAAAAACTACTCCAGCATGTAATACCTTAGGCATACAGAGTTCTCAATCAAATTGTACTAATGGGTCTACAGGTTACTAAAGGCAATGCTACTATAATGGCAGGCAACTGCATAACTTATTTTTGTTACAAAATTAAGTTAAAAGCTATTCTTTTTTAAAATAAATAGTCAAAAGACTTAGCTGTTCCATCACAAAGAACACCTCTTTCAGTTCAGTGTAAGGTAAAAATGTGTCTTTATTCATTAGCAATACACCCCAAAATAATTTGAGCAGGACAAGAAGATTAATTAATTAAGATGCAAACATAAAAGGGAAATATTTTTTAAACAAGAACAAAAAAAAACCCCACTTTGATGAAGAAGTCAAAAATTATAAAAGATAAAATGCACTGAATTCTTCTTATGAGTCTTTTTAGCATAACATTTTAAGAGGAAAAACACACCTTTAAACATCATCAAATAGACTTCTAATTAAACTCTTTAAAATCCCATAAGATGATGTTCTTCAGGTAAGAAGACTGAGCCATGTGATTCAATGAAATCACCTAGGTGAAAGCAAACTATACTTTCAAAGAATATCTTCATAAGGTTTAGCCTTTGCGGCATTAAGCTCTTCCTCTGAAAAGAGTTATGCTCTGAGTAAATGAAACCTAAAGATTAACAACATCCCTTTTTGTCTTTCACTTCAAAGTATATCATCTGTGGAGGTTGGAGAATCATCCACAGTATTAAGGCATACACCATTTCATTTGGTTCAGTTATTTTGTTAACTTCTGACTTGGTATTTAATATTTGAAAAACAGAATCCTTGCCTCTCCAGCATTTTAAAAATTCATACAAAACATTACAAGAGTACCCACAGAGAAACAGTGATGGGCATCACATGCAAGCAGCTATCAGAGTTGAAAAAAAAAGCCCCAACATCTGTTTGCTCCTGTCTAATCTAATTTGCAATGATCTAAGCTGACAGTTACTAGACTATTTCACAAAATAAATATGATTTCATAATATCTAATGCAAGTAAT